ATGGAGAACAATGGGTGTACGATAATTTCAATGCCTCCAACGTTCTCTGACGTCTTTTCACCACGAAGGATGAGTGTGCCATCACTCAACTGCCTCACGTCCGTCTTCTTGGACTTTTTTCCTGCAAGGCGATTACGTGGTAGTTGATGCGCCCTGCACCTTCGAGAAGTGAAGATCGGCGTTAATGGAGACTGTCCTGGCGTTGTAGGTGCACAGCATGAGACAATCTCCATGGCGAGTCGTTCACGTGTCTTTTTGGTCCGAAATCCATGGCCTCCTGTGCAACATGACACTGGTCTTGATGACATCCAACGCCGTAGATGTGATCGTGTGCAGGGCTTTTTTTTCTCTCACATGCTGTACAGCCAACAAAGAAAGAACATCTCCCCAAACTCTAGCAATACCTTGCCAGGGCCCTCAAGCTTTCACCACAGGTAATCGCTGAACTTATTTGGATCAGGGAGCTACTTAGCGACTGAATCAGTAGACGGTGGTGCTTCTGGCATGGCCTACTCTTAGCTGGGCATCCGGGAAACCGGAAACGTCGAACTCCTTTTCAGCTTGGGAGACACTGCTGGAGGATAAACCTCCGCTGTACTTTGCAGTTCGACACCCAGAGTCACCCCCGCGCCACGATAAGGCTGTAGACCATCACGAGGGTACAGCATATAAAAGAAGAAAAATACGGCACACTGGATCACATCTCCGACGTGGATGTCACCAAGACCAGTGTGATTGCGTGGGACACCGTGGATATCGAACCAGAAGGATGGACGTAAGGAGACTCTGGAATGCATTGCAAAACATCTTCGAGGGAGACCGCCGACCAGATAGGTTGACGTGTCGTTGCACGGATGGATCAGCTGAATCTCAACTGGTAACGAGAAATGGATCTGTATTTCGCAAACGTCGCCGCCTCAGCTCAATACCAACATCTGGTTGACGCTAACCAAAGATATAAAGTTGGAAATAATGCTGGGGCCTACACGATACGTGAAGACAGGCCATCTACGTATCTAAAATAAGCAAGTACTGCTGAGATCGTGCATAGGCTGCCGATACCGATGTAGAAACAAAGAAAAACAATTAGAGCCATATGAGAGTTTTCTGAAGAGGAGTAAGACTTTGGCAAGATATCCACGATTTGATGCTTAACGCTCTGAAAGACACGGTTTCAGAAGAACCAATAGATAAGAATTGTCATGGAGCTAGGATCCAAGTGCAAAAAGCAGTAGGTCCAACAGGGTATTCTCTCATTAAGATTACATTTACGTTTGATAAGAATCGCGCTCTTTACTCTTCATCGTATCTTGGATGTAGAAGCGGAAACCTTCGAATGACAAGCTCCATGGGCTCTCCTGTGACGATGCGCTCCTGTTAGCAGAAAGCAGAAAAGAACTTGGAGTAGATGTAAAGAGGTGAAAGAAGCAACAGTTGATTGTATAGATTGATGCTCGATACTAAGAAAAAGTTATATGAAAGTGGGAGAAACCATATATATCGATGGTAAGCTTATCAAAAACGTCATCAGTTTTCTCGGAAGTCGACTCACTGCTTAAGGAGGACATCACGACTTGATTTCAGCAAAAATAGGTGCAGCCTGGTGTGAGGGGATTTTACAGAAGCTCTGTGTGACAGAAGTATCCTTGTACCGTGCTGTAAGTCGCCCAATAGCGATAATGGTATATGGGCGCGAAAGAGGAATGCTCAGCATCATAGAAGTAGGAATGCTGAGTAGAGCTTAGGAACACGTATAGAATCCTTGACGGGGAACGCTAATAAAAAAGAAGTCTGAAACGCTACACTGGCCATACATTGGCGATGCTCAGAGTAGCCGAGCTGTGGCTACACTCGGACAAATTTATGTTTGTCAAATGGTCAGATGTTTTGGATTGATAGCCATCTAAAATATGTAACATATTGTAAAGATCTTTAGTAATAATTCCGGAAATGTCTCGAAACCGACATATCTACAACACTATGGATTTTACCCAAAGTTTTTTATATTGCACACTGGATCGAGTACTGTTAAGTATAATCAGATTTGTTTAAACATTTGAATATTCGATAGTCCGTCGCTATTCGAATTTCGTAGTTTGGAAATCGAAATTTATATATCTGAATATTCAATAATGGAAGGTTTTGGTCCAGTCTTCTTATTTAAAATATGATATATTTCAGCTTTCGAATTTCGAATTATGTGGAAACGTATTTTGAGCAATCCAATTTTTGAATTTATGTGCGAATATTCTATTTTGAGTCGAATTATTTGATTCGGTTCAATGTATAGTGAGCACGGTGCAATGCTCAAGATTAGGTAGCGCTAATACTAGAGACTCTACAAACCAAAGAATTTACGATGAAGATTTATGGATTAAGTATTATGGATCTATTTAGTAAGTAAAGCGGATCTAATATCACACTCGACTGCGTTTCTAAAAATATCACAGTTGTCAATTTTTGTGTCAAATTGCTGGCAATACTCCTCCTATACAAAGTTATTCTCAAAGAAGCTCATCACCTCAGTCATTCTATTCAACGTTGAGCCCAATCCACTA